ACTGAGCCATTTGTACTGCTTTATAATTTAACTGTTTATTTCTTGTGTTATATATCTATCCATCTGTATAAATATATATATATATAATTATTAGCAATCTGTTTTGTCTCTCTAGAGAACCCTGTCTAACACACATAGTAGTAACTCTCTATGTGTTATTTCTTTGGGTTCTCCCAGAAACCCTGTGATGGAATGTTTACTGCCATTTCACAGAGACATTGCAGTTAGTGTACTGTTTGCTCTTAAACCTGACCTTGGCTCCAAAGAGAGAGAAGGAAATCAGATTAGGCACCTACCAACTACCAGGTGCTATGACAGTTTCCTCATACATTATCTCAGGCATGAAACACCTGTGAAGAAGGTAGTCTCGTTCCATTTTACAGATTTTAAAAGGTAGGCTCAGAAAGCTCTGAGCACTTTGCCCTATAATAAACAGCTGAGACATGACCGAGCAAGGTTCAAACCCAGATCTGTACAATCCCAATGCAACTTCTTTTCCCTGGTTACTTTGGAGCTGGGCCCTCTCCTGGCTGTTAGTGCACCTGCCTGTGCCCATTCCTCCTCTCTTCCCCAGAACAAGGCCTCGAGTGTGTTGCCCACCCCTCTGCCTTGCTTGTCTGTCCAGCTACACACAGAGAATGATGGGCTAGCTTAGGAGCACAGCTGCTGGCCTCGTGACCCTGAGGAAGGTATCCAGGGCCAGAGAAAGCCATCACGGAAGCCCTGAGGGAGAGGAAGGGGACCGAGAGGAAGGGGAACAGACGCTTCCCTCTGAAAAAGGGCCAAGCCAGAGAGCCTGTACATCCGAGGAGCCCGCTGAGAAAGGTGGCCAGGGTGCTTTTTTCCGTGGGAACTCCTAGCTAGAACCTCTACCTTAGACAGACACCTCTGAGAAAGCTCTGGGGCAGTGATGGAAACCGGACTGTTTTCTAATGGGTCCAGCCAAGTACTTTGGTCTGTATTGAAAGCTGACACTGAATTTTCTAAACCAGCCCAGATGTCAACTGTCAGTCCTTACTCCTTCCTGGAAAATTATCTCAGCAGGTTTCAGGGAAAGAGCTGGCCCATACATGACTCCCACCAACTTTCCTTTCCCTTGACACATAGGGACCATTGTTGGGTCTGGGAAAGGAACTTTTCCAAACTGGGGGATGGCTCAAGAAGAAGGTTGTGACGTGCTTGAGGGCAGGGCTTTTTTCTGTCAGGACCGGCCAATAGGGATAGGAGCAGTCCGGCTGGATGAGGGACAGGTACTGTTAGGTGGGTCTGGCTCCTAATAAAAAGATGGAGAGCTACTCAGGACTCAGTGTGGACTGCAGAGCCCTGGCCAAGATGAGGGGTAAGTGAGGTCCCTTCACTAAGTCTGAGACAGGATCCTGTAGAGGGCACCGAAGCCAGCAGGGAAACTGGATCCAGGGGTGGGGAAGGCCCAAGGGAACTGAGATGGGCTTGCAGACCTGTCTGGGAATAGAACCGTGCGTGAGGACAGGGACTGGAGCCTGCGGTGTGGAAT